AAAAAAAAAAAAGAAAATGCACTAATGCTTTCCTTCTTAGACTTTACAGACCTAAAACTTGCCTATAGCACTTATTTATTGTTGCTCTTATAGTTGTGTAAATTGCTTCCTTGTCCTCATTTGTAAGTCGCTTTGGATAAAAGCGTCTGCTAAATGACTAAATGTAAATGTAAATGCACTAGCTCTAAAGTGTCGTTGGTGAATTAGTAATGGCTTCTGCTGTTCTGATGTCCGCTGCAGATGTGAATAAATGGCGGAAGAAAGTAGTTCATAATACAAAAGGGTTTTAGACTCTTTGTGTTTGATTTTCTTTTTTTATGTACAAGATTGTGCCGTTGAACTGTTGTATAAACGCAATAGCAGTGTGCCATGGCTGTATATCAGCACAGGTGGGGCGCTAAGGCACTCTGTGCTACTCGTGCGATATTGCTCATATATGATAAACACACCTATAATAAGTAAAAACGTTTTAGTTGCTGTTATTCAAAACTGAATTTTCAATTCAGGATCCATCAGAAATGTATTCTAATATGTTGATTTGGAATTTAACTTGATATAAAACATTTAATACAATTAAAATTCTGAATCCTGAAAGCTGTTGTTCATTTTTGATGGACATTACAAATGACACTTTTGATCCTTGCTGAATTAAAAAATATTTACTGCCTCTTATATTTATTTAAAATACATATACAAATTTATATTGATACAAAACTGAATCAAATATAAACTGCAAGTAAATAACAATTTTCAAATGCGTATATATGCAATAATTTGGTAATAAACTAATAAATGAGCTGATGCTTATGATGATATCTGACCACACATCGCATTCTAAACAAACATTCAAAAACGCATCTACATGTTTCTACATGTCTTTAAACTGACCTCAGGCTAGGTTAAAAAGTATGCATGTCATCTTCATGCATGCCATGTGTAGATATATACATGTACAAAGCACTTAAATATCCCATTGAAAACCTTTATACTTTCATACAAACTGTCTTGTTGCTATGTAGAAGAGATATTTCCACATAACTAGCAGTCTCTCTAGAAGTAATCACATCAGATCAGTGTTTTTGCAGACAGATCTCATCAGTATCCCCAAAATCCTGCTTTAAATCTTTTGTTTTGTCTAGTTTTACCTTTAAAAGTGCCTGCCTGTCCGTCTTTCGCATTTAAATGCACATTTAGAAAAGGTGTGGTGTGTGTCGCTTGCAACATACCCAACATTGCAGCTGTGAGAAATGCTGATATTTACAAAAAAAAAATAAAAATCACACAAGGCTTCCTCAAGCCTTTTCCTCTGTCATTTATCTTGCATGCTACATCTCAAGGCAACTTCCCTGTGAAATTCAGCTTAGCATGTCAGCTCTGGCTTTTGCAATGTCTATTTCTGTTTGTCCAGGAAGTGAAGTCTCACACACACTGACCACTTTTTGGGTGTAGGGCTCAAATCAACAACACATATCATTCATGCTGTTACAAAACACCCTTTCAGGAATATAAAAGCAGTGGTTAATACTATCACACCTTAAGCAGACACAGAACTATTGTTGTGTCATTGTTTGTGGGTTTATGGTTTAAGTCAGTTGGCTATTACTCTTTGTGTAGGAACAATTGATGATGGGACATTAAATTAGTAAGAGATAATCAACGGATTGCCATGCATTAAAGCTGCTATTCGTCTGTTTTTGAATTATCTAAAACTTAAAAACACCATATGTTTGCAGTTATTTCTAAGCATGCTAATTTAGCATCCTTGTTTATCTAAAAAAGATGTTAAAATCTGCTTTGAAAATGTGCGCTCCGTTCATCAGCCAATCAGAATCAAGCATTTAAATAGCCTCATGGATAAGTTGTCTTCTCACACCTGATTGGTTGTTGTTATTGACAGTTTCTCCGGCAGCAGAGCGAATACGCTTCATTTTGGGTGAAGATGACAGTGGTCCTCCCCCACCGCAGCTCTTCACCGAACTTGACGAACTTCTTGCCGTTGACGGACAGGAACTGGAGTGGAAGGAAACAGCCAGGTAAAAGCGTTGAAACCCCCAAGAAACATGTCGTCATCAGAATTTGTGGCTGCGTTTGCTTCAGTTTGTTTTCCCGCCTGTTTACATTCACTTTAGATTTGACTGGTATGTGATGTTTTTGTTTACATTCCTACAAAATCAGATATGAAGCATCAGTGCAGTAAACACAGCCCATGTCGTGTTGTATTCTCAGTGTGGCCACAAGGGGTGCAATTGTAAACATTGAGATTTAGTCATTTAGCAGATGCTTTTATATAAAGCGACTTACAATTGAGGAGGCAGACAGTGATTCAACAAAAGACAACACACACTAGAAGTGCTGATTAAACAGAGGAACTGTTTGTGATTTGAGAATTTAGTGCTAGAGTACGTAGAGGGAGTGTTTTTTTTCTACAGGTGGTTTGTCAAGCCCACTCGCCTGTGTAAGGCATACTTCATAAATGCACAATGCTTTAGAGAGATAGGGCTCTATTTTAAAGGGTCACGAAACACCAAAACACATTTTTTGAGCTGTTGACAGTCGTATATGTGTCCCACACTGCTAAAAACACTATTAGGACACCTATATTTCACTGAAAAGTGTAAATTGGTTGTTTTTGCGTTATTTCGAGCAAATTCGTGCTTCCGGTTTGAAACGAATTTTTGAAGCTGCGTCACGGCCATGAGATAATAGCGTGTATTCCAGCGTGCAGACTGGGCGTCTGTGCCAGAGTGAGTCTTATTACGTCTTACTGTGTGATGCATTAATGCATGAGTAAGGCTTGGTTCAAACCAATCAGCGCGCTCTATTGTGCAACTTCATTAATATTCATTAGTGTCACCGTGTTTTCAGGACAGAGACGCCACGTTGTGTTGGCAAAACAAGCGTGAAGTGTTGCTTTTATAGTTTGCTGCCGTTAAGTTTCGTTTTCATTTTCTCTCTGTGAGAGCGCAGACTCGCGTGTGGATTAACAGTGTACGCGACGCTCAACAACAATAACTTACGTGTCCAAGGAGGATTATTGTTCACCTGAGAGCTGTTCTCATCTGCAAACGCTGAAATCTGGATTCGCTTTAGTCTCCTCTTAATAAAGACGCGGCTCTAGTTGCTGGTGATTGTCCTGTCTCTACAGATTTGGTAAGTGAGCGACCAGTGCTCTTTGTTTATTCAGTTCGTATTTTATTCGTATCAAACAAACTATTGCAACGAGTGTAAACAAGTTAGCACTAACAGTTACAACCAAACTATAACCTCGTGTTGGATTTTGTGACCGGAATAACACACGCGGCTTTCTGACGCTACCTGCCGTGTGCATCTAAGTTTCCGGGAAATGCTGAGTTTTTTTTCTCTCATTCGCCGTGCGGTATCAAACATTGCATGAAAAATACACTCTTAGAGCAGATCCTCGAATCAAATATCACGTTTGTCGGAAGGGACAAGAATGACTTGCCTGAATGAAAGAGCCAAACTGCAGTTAAAGTCCACCATTTAATAATCTGGCAAATAATTCGACTACAGATGTCCATGTAAACACAGTCACATTGTCCGCTGTGGTTGTGTGTTTTGACTCTGAAATTCAGCGCACCCAAATAGACACTCCCACACCAAGCCTCTTTTGTTCCTCCGACACTCCCCCCTAAACAGAGCTGGACACGCCCACTTTTCTGACTTTTTCCAAAGTAGAGGTGTGAAAACACCCTGCTGAAACAAGGGGGTTTCATGGCCCTTTAATGATCTAAGCACAAAGTCTAAAGGTGCAAAAGCGTTAAAGGCATGTCTGAATCCACTTTTGCTATTTCAAGGGCGCATGGTCTAACAGGGTTGTGCTTATTCTTTTAAATAGTTCTGGGTGTGTTTTGTGCATAAAATGAGATGAAAAGCATAATAGAGTTGTATAAAAGTACAAAGACTCAACAGGTAAAACAAAATAAAAATAAAATAATAATAAATAAAAGAAAACAATAATATTACAAATATTGCTTTGCCTTGCTAACTCACAATAACCAATTTGTCAAACAAATACACAGTTTTTACAGCTTTTTTTGTTTGCACTGTCCTTAATGGTATTTAAATAAATGTATAGTTTTCAAATAATAGTATTACCATACTTCCCGGTTGATTGATTACATTAAGAATTGATGCTTTCTAAAATGTTATGTTTAAATATGCAAATGAGGCTGTCACAACCACCATTCTATGAATTCGGACATACTACTTGGCTCGTATACTGATTTTAGCATACTAATTAGTATGGAAGTATGCGGTTTTGGACGCAGCCAAACACTGTGGCTGAGTCTTCTGTAACCAGGAATGTGCCACTAACAACAGGGCTGAGTCTGACATCTCTTCTAGTGACATTACAATGCGTTACCTTTGTCTTGCTTTGCCGTGATTTTGACCCTCGCCTTGTTTTCTTGTTTTACTCCTGTCTGCTGCCTGCCTTCTGACCATTTGCCTGCTATTTCGACTACGACTCTGGATTGCCCTCATACATCTGTTTTCCGCTGTGTTGACCATTGCTAGCCTGACCTCGCTTATAAACCTGCATGTGGATCCGCACCCCTGTTGTCAGTGTCACATCCCCCGGTTTCAGAAGACTTTACCAGCAGATTTGTAGTCCTATGTGAGTGTTTTCCAGCGATCTCTGGTGGTTAGATCACTGGTGATCGTTTTTTGTGATTTGTATGCATTTCTAGCTCAAAAATCTGAACATTGGTTCAAGTAAGTTTCTTTCTTTACATATCTGTTTTAATCACTCCCTAATTGAGAAATTTCTTCAAACAGCCTGAACAATTCATATTTTTTCACTTTTTTCATTTAATAAAATGTACATAATCAGGGAAATTATGGATGAACAAATCCCTCTTTAACACCGTCGGAATATAGTAGATAGGATTATTAACTTCTACATGGTTGCAAACTGTTTTGTTTTACCACGTAAACACACAAGAGTAAGTAAATGGTCAGTAATTGTATACTCGTTGGGCTTAGGTGTACGTTTGATCTCTCTTTGAGCAACTTGTCAAGGAGTAAAGTAGTATCTAAAGACACACACAGAGAAAAGACAAAGCCGCTTTCATGTGCTCTGAGGAGTTTTGATTTCCTCCGTGTATTGAGTGACAGATGAGCTGCAGGTCTTTTCCTGCTACAATATCAACTGACCCACAGCCACTCACCCACACACACACACACACACACGCACACACACACGCACACACATTTATTTAAACACACAGTTAAAGTACATTTTGAGTCATTTAATTTTCAATTATTTAAAAAATATATATATTTTGAAATTAACTTAAAAAAATAATGATTTTAAATGTTAGTAAATCGAGCTTTCACATTGAAAATCTCTGTGTTTATTTTGTTTTGTATTGTAAGATTTAAATCGAATATTTTAATGGAAAACAATAAGATGTGTGATGTGATGTGGAAAACCAGTGTACATTTTATTTTATATTTATTTATTATACTATATTTTTACTGTTTACTATACAATATTTTTTTGGAGTGTTTATTTATATATTAGATTTCTATTTATTTCATTATTCATTGAAATTTCCCTTATCAATATTATTATTACTATTATTTTTCTCAGTACTGGCTTGCTGCTGGAAGGGCATCCGCTGTGTAAAACATATCGTCACCTTAGAATTATAAGGTTCTATCTGACATTTTTGTCAAAATTGAGTTATTGACATATTCTTATTAAATGACTTATTTAATGATAAAATGCATTTTTTTAAAATAAGTTGTTTACATTTTAAGACTTCCTTTTATTGAAAAAACAAAGGTTACACACATACTGTTGGCTATGGAATGCAAAATCTTTGAAGCTCAATATCTCGAAATCATTCAGAACGTAGACAGTACCTTATAGTTTCAAGGTGGCGATATGCTGGAATGGTTCATTCCACTGTGGTAACCCCTGGTTAATAAAGGACTAAGCCTAAGGAAAAATTTTTACTATTGTTACGATTATTATTATTATTATTATTATTATTATTATTATTATTGTGATGATGATGATGATGATGATGATGATGATTACTATTGTTATGATTATTTTTATTTTTATTATTTTTATTACTATTGTTACAATTATTATTTTTATTATTATTATTATTATTATTAATAATATTATTAATTTTGTAAGGATGATTATTGCTATAGTTACTATTATTATTATTATTATTATTATTATTATTATTATTATTATTATCATTGTGATGATGATGATGATGATGATGATTACTATTGTTACGATTATTTTTATTATTATTTTTTTATTACTATTGTTACAATTATTATTATTATTATTTCTATTGTGATGATTATTTTATTATTATTATTATTAATATTATTATTACTATTGTAATGATGATGATGATTATTGCTATAGTTACAATTATTATTATTGTTGTTGTTGTTATTATTATTATTATTACTACTGTTACGATTTATGCTATTTTTATTAGTATTGTTATGATTGTTATTATTTTTGTTGTTGTTATTATTATTATTATTATTACTACTATTGTTATGATTATTATTATTGTTGCGATTTTATTTTTGTTACAATTTTTTTTGTTATTATTATTACTATTACTATTGCTACGATTATTATCACTATCGTTATGATTATATTATTTTATTATTATTATTGTTACAAATTATGATTATTTTTATTCTTATTTTATTATTATTATTATTAATTTTATTATTAATTTTATTATTATTATTATTATTATTATTATTATTATTATTAGGACGATGCGGTGGCGCAGTAGGTAGTGCTGTCGTCTCACTACAAAAAGATTGCTGGTTCGAGCCTCGGCGGGGTCAGTTGGTGTTTCTGTGTGGAGTTTGCATGTTCTCCTTGTGTTCACGTGGGTTTCCTCCAGGTGCTCCTGTTTCCCCCACAGTCCAAAGACATGCGGGACATGTGAATGTGTGTATGAATGTTTCCCAGAGATGGGTTGCGGCTGAAAGGGCATCCCCTGAACAAAAATGTGCTAGATAAGTTGATGGTTTATTCCGCTGTGGCATCCCCAGATTAACAAAGGGATTAAGCCAACAAGAAAATTTATATATATATATATATATATATATATATATATATATATATATATATTTGTCTTAATATTTTTGCATTTTATATTTTGCCCTTTGCCCTTGCACAGTCACCAATGGCAGGTTCAGTTGACTTCATTGGATGTTGTGAACACAAAAGGTTTCTTTCTTTGTATTTGCATGTTTCAGATTTACATGCTAAGAGCTACACGGATCATGTTCAATTTAAACCATGTGCTAACAAAGAGCTCTGTGTTTTCATATGTGTGCATGTGTGTGCGTGTGTGTGTGTGTGTGTGTGTGTGTGTGTGTGTGTGTGTGTGTGTGTGTGTGTGTGTGTGAGTTCCCAGAGTTCTTAGTGGTCTCTGGGTTCACCTGTGTCTCAGGTAACATGCGAGAACTTCTGTGTGTTTGCTTGTTTGTCTGCTTTTGTGTGTGTGTGTGTGTGTATGCTTATGTGTGTGTTTGTATGTGTTTGTAGTTTGTATGGTTGTGTGTGCTTGTGTTTGTGTGTTTATATGCTTTTGTCTGTTTGTCTGTTTGCATGTGTGTGTATGCGTGTGTATGCGTGTGTATGCGTGTGTTCTTGTGTGTGTGTGTGTGTGTGTTTGTGTGTGTGTGTGTGTGTGTGTGTGTGTGTGTGCGCGCGCGTGTTATTGTCTCTGTGAGCATGTGTGTGTATCACTTTAGTCTCAGATATCATACTCACGCTCTGCTAAACTCAGCTCAGCAGTATTTTCTGCACTAGATCACAGACTCTGAAGGATCTCTGTGTGTGGTTTAGTTCCTGAAGGCTGAAACTCACTCAAGCACACACACAGAAACTGACCATCAGAGCAGCAGAGCTTTAAGAGGCTTTGACAATCATTTTCTGTCTTATTTTACACTGAAAGGATTTGAGTTCACTGGTGCAGCTGTGCAGTGAATGATCTCTGTCATTCTGTTGTGACAAACAATATTAGAAGAAACTGACCAAAGTAGATGGCTTTCATAAAAAATGTTTAATGCAGATTTAAAATACTTAAACCAGAGAAACAGTGATGGTACACTACCTGATAAAAGTCTTGTCGCCTGTCCAAGTTTTAGGAACAACAAATAATAACTTGACTTCAAGTTCATTTGGTATCAGAAGTGGCTTATATGAAAGGCAAAGGCCTCAAGATTACGCTTATTTTACCACTATAAAATATGATCATGCCTTTATTTTTAATGAATTCATTAGGACAGTAAGGTCTGACTTGGTTTAAACAAAAGTCTTGTCACTTAACAGAAATAATGTCCAGTATAGAATATAAAGTCATGCTGCAGTGAAAACAGAATGAATATTGTGTCTGACTCCATCGTGAGCTTGGAGGACTGCATCCATACATCTCTGCAATGACTCAAATCACTGATTAATAAAGTCATCCGGAATGGCAAAGAAAGCGTTCCTGCAGGACTCCCAGAGTTCATCAACATTCTTTGGATATATCTTTAATGCTTCCTCCTCCATCTTACCCCAGACATGCTCAATAATAATCATGTCTGGTGACTGGGCTGGCCAATCCTGGAACACCTTGACCTTCTTTGCTTCTAGGCGCTTTGGAGGCTGAAGTATGAGAAGGAGCGCTCTCCTGCTGAAGAATTTGCCCTCTCCTGTGGTTTGTAATGTGGTCCATGCACCAAATTTTGGGTTCGAGTAGGTCTTCTTCAGTATTAGTGATGATTGGGATGCAGTTCAACAGATGAAAAATCGACCTTCTGTGTCTTTTCCAAATCAACTAGAAGTCAAGTTATTAACTGTTCCACTTAACACTGGGATTCATGATAAGACTTTTGTCAGGTAGTGACTCGGGTAGAAACACATAACTTTTTACTCAAAGATGAAGACCCTATCCAATGTTTGCACTGTAAAACCCCATGGACTGTAAAACACTTTTTACTGGACTGCCCTGCTTTTAATGACTCCAGAAAGACTTTTTATGATGAGAACTCTCTTAAGGACATTTTTAACAAAGTGACTTGAGAAAAAGTATTAGAAATTTTAACATGTATTAACCAGAAACATTTTATTTAAACTGTATATTAATTTTTTACTCTTGATGTTTGTTAATTACTGAAATGCTCTTGCCATGAAAATAGCCTTAGTAGCTGACATGGCAATAAATAAATAAATATTGAATGAATGAATTAAGTGACTCGGGTAGTGAGCCAGCCAAGGCTCGAACCAGTGACCTTCTTGCTGTGAGGTGATAGCGTTATCAACTGTGCCATTGCTCCACTATATATATATATATATATATATATATATATATATATATATATATATATATATATACCTCATTTTGTGGAGGTTATTATTCTACGACACGTGATACATTATGATTAATACCATTATTGTTAATGTAGAAACATGGTTATTTCTATTAAAATGGGCAAAAAAAATTTTTGTTTTAAAATGAGCTATTCAAAACTATAGTATTATTATAGTGAATGCGTAAATACATGGTTTTACTTAAAAAAATAAATAAAAAACAAATTATATATATATATATATATAATTTGTTTTTTATTTATTTTTTTAAGTAAAACCATGTATTTTTTATAAAACAATGTAGAGCAAGGCCAAAATATTAACCATGTCTCACGGTATTATCAAGGTTTCATGATGGATTCAAAATAATGTCACATTCATAATGCAGATCAAAAAATACAAATTCCCAGAACATGTCGTCAGTATCATGGTAAAACCATCAATTACATGTGCTGAAAACATGGTATAATTCTGACATGAGCTTTTCTTGCGATTACCTGACCTGACAGTGCTGTAAGTGTTGCTCAGTTTGTTGATTTCTGTGTGTGTTGTGTGTTTCCTCAGATGGATAAAGTTTGAGGAGAAGGTGGAGAAGGGTGGCGAGCGCTGGAGTAAACCTCACGTGGCCACTCTTTCTCTGCACTCGCTCTTCCAGCTCAAGAACTGCATCGAGAAGGGAACCATCGTGCTGGACATGGACGCAAACTCACTGCAGCAGATCGTCGGTAAACATACACCTACAGTTCCTGTGACAATCAAAATGACCTTTTTTTGATGTTAGTATCAGTATGTCTCACACAGAACAAGCTTTTCCTTTCCAATGCACTACTTTTCTACTGTTTTTCAATGTAAATACATGCTTGACAGGCATGTGTGGTAGCTACCATCAAGCAGGTATCGCTGCAGCCTGAAGAGTCCCAAGTGGAAGGGAGTTATGTCGCAAGTAGGTTGGGTTTAGGGTTGTGGTAGGTGTAGATGTAAGTAAAACACAGTGGTTTGGACTCCATGTCATGTAGGAGACATTAAACGGACCAATGAAAACTCCTGGGGCCTCATGTACGAAGACTTGCGTGGAAATCATACTAAAACATTGCGTACGCACATTATTACACATTAAAAATTCAGATGTATGAAACACTGCGTACGCTGAATCTCACACATATTCTTTTGTACATCCGAATGAACGTGAAACTGAGCGCAACATGCACGAGCACAAAACCCCTCCCTGCCTCCTCCCCCGTATGAATATGCTAATGACTCTACTCTGGCAAAACCCAACGAAAAAGCAATGGCAAAATCAAGCAAAAAGAGAAACTTTGAACAGAATGTTAATTGGAGGTGCTGCTTTCGGAGGTAGACCGGAGAAAAGCGGTGTTATTTGCAAGTTTGTCCTCCGGAATTACCAACAAAAGAAAAAAATAGAGTGGGAGAGTTTAGAATAAGTGAATTAAAAAAGAAATAGTGTGGTTTATAGCTGTAAAATGTTGCAGTACCCTAAATAGTCTCTGTGGTGCAGCTCGTGAGACGCATGTCAACATGTTTTGACACATTCGAGCATGAACTCGGTTCGAATCCAGCATCTGATGAATTCTTTCTTCTTCTTTCCCCCCGCTACATATCAGATTTTGCCAACTATTTATCACGAGAAAGACAAGTAGGAATCATTAATAAGTTTGTGCATCATATTTTATTTGCACATTTATTGAATGGAAATGTTTCTGATTCACGTATGCAAATTCATCTTCAGATAGTGTCTTTATAGCAATGTGCGTGCAGTAGATAGCTCAGATTACATTGGGAGAACAGGCGACCGCTGTAAATTGTGCTTTAATGTTTAGCTGGTCAACTGTATGGTATGGAAACCTTATATACCTGCTAGATGAACCCGTCTCATACAGCTGCCATTGCAAGGATCAGACACTTTGTAGAGAGGAATTTAACACAACTGCCTCTAGGAGTCGCCAATGGAAATAAAACAGACACGCACAAAAAATGTGCGTACGCCAGCCATAAAGCTGCCATGAACCTGCGCACATTCCCACGTTCAGTTCATCGTTAGTAAATCCAAACGTGAGCGATTCTGAGTGTGAAACCTGGCGTACGCAAAGTTTTTGTGTGTACGCAGCAATGATACATGAGGCCCCAGGAATTTTGTACAGCCCACTAGGAGCTCAAGTCCTACCTACTTGAAGCAGACTACACCTTAGTTTAAGCCCTTCTCGTTACCATCGTGTCTTGCATCTTTTGCAGAGCTCAGCACATGTACACCACATATTTTAGATGTTGTGTGAAGTTCAAACTTCAAATTTCACACAAGGTGCAGCTCACTTCTGTCAGTTCCAGAGCAGTGGGCCAATCAGAAGAGCTCAGAGACTGGGCAAGCATTGCAAGTTTCTGTTTATAGGCAATCAGTGGCAGCACCTGAACACTCTCATTCTTTATAAATGATGAATGCTGTTTCTCACGCTTTTAAAAGCAAAGATGTGTTCAGTGTGAATGTCCCAAACTTCTAGTTGATCATTCGGAAAAGTGGCAGAAGGTCGATTTTTCTGATGAATCATCTGTTGAGCTGCATCCCAATCATCACTAATACTGCAGAAGACCTAGTGGAACCTGCATGGACCCAAGATTCTCACAGAAATCGGTCAAGTTTGGTGAAGGAAAAGTCATGGTTTGGGGTTACATTGAGTATAAGGGTGTGTGAGAGATCTGCAGAGTGGATGGCAACATCAACAGCCGGAGGTATTAAGACATTTGTGCTGCTCATTACATTACAAACCACAGGAGAGGGCAAATTCTTCAGCAGGATAGCGCTCCTTCTCCTACTTCAGCCTCCACATCAAAGCTCCTAGAAGCAAAGAAGTTCAAGGTGCTCCAGGATTGGCCAGCCCAGTCACCAGAAATGAACATTATTGAGCATGTCTGGGGTAAGATAAAGGAGGCATTGAAGATGAATCTTAAGACTCTTGATGAACTCTGGGAGTCCTGCAGGAACGCTTTCTTTGTCATTCCAGATGACTTTATTAATAGGTGATTTGAGTCAGTGCAGAGATGTATGGATGCAGCCCTCCCAGCTCATGATGGAGTCATACACAATATTCAGTCTTTTTCGACTGCAGAATGAAGTATATTCTATACTGGACATTATTTCTGTTAAGTGAAGTCAGGTCTTGCTGTCCTAATTAACTCTTTAAAATCAAGGCATGATCATTTTTTATTTTGGTAAAATAAGCGTAATCTAGAGCCCTTTGCCTTTAACATAAGCCACTTCTGATACCAAATGATCAACTAGATCAAGCTGTTATTTGTTGTTCCTAAAACTTGGATAGGCGACAAGACTTTTGTCAGATAGTGTATGTGGAACTTAAATTTCTATGGAACATGATTAACCTTGATTAATGACAGATGTTAATGTATAAACATAGTTCTTTCTACTAATAAACCCAAAACAAAAGTTTGTTTTATAATAAATGTTCTAAACTATGGTATTATCATGACGCATGGCTAAAATACATGGTATTGCAATGAAGATTATATGACAAACCCTTGGCACTGGTCAAAATTTTCTTTTTTACCTTCACCTTGCTATTATCTCCATGATGGACGCGTCCAGCTTCTCCAGCCTCTGGTGCCTAGACTGCAGCTCCACACAGGAAGTTTGGCCTGAAGAAAAATAGTCGTGCCCAACAGAGTCTGGTTTCTCTCGAGGTTTTTGTCCTTTCACTTCATCAGTCGGGGAAGTTTTTTCCTCACCACTGTCACCACTGGCTTGCTCGGATCAGGATTTGGGAAGCTGCTCTTCAGTGGATTTGCTCTTCAGTGTTTAAACTTTCAGCAGTGAAATTTAAACCACACTGACCTGAACTGAACTGAACTTCAACTCTGAAATCTGGACTTCACTAGAACCTCCATGTTTAGCTGCTTTGACACAATCAAAATTGTAAAAAGCGCTATATATAAATAAACAAGAATTGATTATTAACATCATTATCTATTGTGATAATAAATCAAATCTCTTTGTTTCAGAAAACATCACTGACAGTCAAATCGAGAGCGGGCAGCTGAAGGCCGATCTGAGAGAGACGGTCATATACACTCTGCTGAGGAAACATCGACACCAGACCAAAAAATCCAACCTGCGCTCACTGGCAGACATCGGCAAGAGTGTGTCGAGCGCCAGTCGCCTGTTCAGCAGCCAGGAGAACGGTATTATAACACACATCTGACATTACAGCTCTCTCTATCGCTCCATCAGTTTCCACATCTCTCCTCTACTTTCAGCAGCACGGCCCACATCACTCACTTTGTCTTGTGGGCGAAATAAAAAAAAGGTTTTGTGACCTTTATATTTTGTTGTATAATTGTAAAATGTTATCATAACTGTTAAATGCTCAACTTCAGGTCAAAAAACTAGCGTTTAAAAATCAAATATAATAAATAATGGCATTGTATTTAGGGTGCATGCACTCAAAAAAATGACTTGCTGCTTGTTCAAACTACACATTTAAAATGAGTTGAAACAACACATTTTTTGACAGATTAATAGTCTTATGTTCAATCCTCTTAAATTTGTAGAAATTATTAAGTTAACTTGTTGACAAATGTCGATTTTAGAAATGTGCAGAGATGTTGTCGATATTCTCCAGTCTCGTGAAAGTAGAGCAGATGCCCTGCTGAAAAATCCAGCTTAAACCAGCCTAGGCTGGTTTGCTGGTTTTAGCTGGATGACCAGCCTGGTTTTTGAGGGGTTTTGGCTACTTTTTGGCTACTTTTAGCTGGTCAGGCTGGAAAATGACCAGCCAAATCCAGCTAAAACCAGCTTGACCAGCCTGGTTTAAGCTGGATATAGCTGGTTTTAGCTGGACTCCCAGCTTGGCTAGGCTGATCAAGCTGGTTTTAGCTGGTCATCTCCCTGCCTGACCAGCTAAGACCAGGCTGGAAATGGCTGGAAACCAGCCTGGAAGTGGCCAAAACCCCTCTAAAACCAGCCTGGTCGACCAGCTAAAACCAGCCAACCAGCTTAGGCTGGTTGAAGCTGGATTTTTCAGCAGGGTGTTTTCATAACATTGTTGCGTTTCTAGAAACAAGATATTTGCGCTGAGTAATTCAGTGTAATGCTGTGTTTATTTTTATTGTACTGCACATGTTGTACTATTCAATTCATAGTCAGGCACGTTTAGACCTTAATCAAACACACACACACACACACACACACACACACACACACACACACACACACACAATATAATTTATTTTGTGGATCATGTGATTCTATTTTATTTTAGCTATTTATCAAAACTTTTATTTCATAGTAATAAAAGTATTTTTATTTCCAGATTTCACTTTTAGATTTAACCTAATTAACCTAGTTAAGCCTTTAAATGCCACTTTAAGCCAGTGGTGCTCAACCCTGTTCCTGGAGATCTACCTTCCTGCAAAGTTCAGCTCTAACCCTGATCAAACACACCTGAACCAATAGGGTATATGCCGAGCTAGTGCTGTTCCCATGCTGATACACTTCCGGTGACCTGTTATTGTGAACTTTTTACCATTTTATACGGTTCCTTATACAGCATCGATGTTGTAATGTCATTAAAATACATTCAGTTAAATAAACTTTAACATTTATTTAGTTGCTCAAGCGTAAAACGAGACAAAAAGCTGTTTACTCGCACGCGCCCGTCAGAATCGGCAGGCTAACGCAGAATCTCCATTGAATATACTGGGGTAAAATAAATGCTCATATTATAAAGACATGGCGGGGGAAATGTAATTTAATGCAGTGCTTCTTGTACAATCTGAGACCCACTTTAAATCGGATATCACTCAGCCAGTGGAGATTTTTAAAGAAAACAGACCTTAAACGCACCAGATTTTGCATTGCCATTCAATTCGCCGGAAGCGCTTAACCCAGTTTACTGGCAAATTAAAAGTCCTATTAGCATGCTTCAGCATATAACCCATTAATTAGGACCCAAATAGCACTTGATAATTACAGGCAGGTGTGTTTGATATGGGTTGCAACTGAAATCTGCAGGACGGTAGATCTCCAGGAACAGTGTTAGCCACGCCTTCTTTAAGCTGTATAGAAGTGTCTTGAAAAATATCTTGTCTAATATTATTTACTGTCATCATGGCAAAGATAAAATAAATCAGTTATTAGAAATGAGTTATTAAAACTATTATGTTTAGAAATCGTTTTTTTAATTTTTATTTTAGTGCACAAATGAGTTAAGAGTATGTATTGCTCACTAGTAAGTGAGCGAGTGACTGTTTTAAATGCTGTATAATTTGTTAAGTCATCTTTCAATATCATTTATTTAGCTTTGAAGCATCCCAAACTGTTAGTTTTGTTCACTTCTATCTGAAATTTCATGCCTTCCTTTCAAGCCTTGATTATTTCTGTGCTCATTTTCGTCAAGTGCTGATTGTGTTTTCCTGCTGATTCTGTTTTCACGTTGATTTAAATCTGCAGTTCTGCTCTGAGTCTCTGCTTTTAATTGTGTTTTGAATCATTTCTCTGCTCTAATGCTTACTTTTCTCTTTTCTTCCCTGTTTCTGTGTCTTGATTGACATGCATGCGCTCCTTGTCTCTCTCTCTCTTTGTCTGTCTGTGTGTGTGTGAAGCGCGCGGTCCTATCGATCACACAGTGCCTTGCTTTACCACTTTTGAACCTGAAGAACAAATGCAGATGCAGAGAAGCAACAGCATGGGCCTTCTCTGTAAGTCTGAGCTGAATTTAGTCTGAGAGATCGGCTCCTGAAATTCATTCCTTTATATGTGAACAATGCTGGAGACACTTTAGAAGATGCTTTAGGGTTTAGTTTCCTTAAACCTTAGTGTAGTTGTGTGCATTTTATAGTATGCTGTATGTTGTGTATTGCGTTTATGACTTTTTAAATGATTATTCTCTGCTCTCTTATTATTTTTGTTTATTTTAAATCAGAATTTTTACTGAATGGTGTGTTTATAAAAGAAAAAAAAAGAAAAAAAAAGAAAACCAGATTAAGATTTTCCCGATTGATGCATTTATATAAAATTGCAAAAAATATTCTCAATGTTTTTTTTATTCATTCATTTTCTTTTCGGCTTAGTCCCTTCATCAATCTGGGGTTGCCACTGTGGAATGAATCGCCAACTTATCCAGCAGATGTTTTTTTGTAGCAGATGCCATTCCAGCTGCAACCCATCACTGGAAAATGTTTTTTTTATACCAGAGTATTTATTTTTTTTTTTTACAAAAATGGTGCATTTATTTAGTAAAATGCAAAAGAATATGCTCAATATTTTTTATTTTTTATTTTATCAGAATAATTTTTTACTGAATGATGCATTTATTTAAAAATGGCAAAAAATATGCTTAATGTTTTTATTTAAATATCAGAATAGGTTTTTACTGAATAGTGCATTTATTAAAAAATAGCTAATTTATAGCATATCATTTATATAAACAAATGCAAAACGTTTTTTTATATCAAAATATTTTTTTTATAAATGGTGCATTTATATATATATATATATATATATATATATATATATATATATATATATATATATATATAACTTTTTAGGACCAGAATCACAGATTGATGCATTTATATAAAATTGCATATATATTCTCAATGTTTTTTTTTTTATTATCAAAATCTTTTTTTACTGAATGGTGCATTTATTTAAAAAAATGAAAAAAAATATGTTCAATGTTTTTGTTTTTTAAATCAGAATAAAATTTGACTAAATATTGCATTTATAATAAAATGCAAAAAAATTGCTCTATGTATTTTTAAATATCAGAATCTATTTGCTAAATATTGCATTTATATAAAATCACGAAAATATTCTCAATGTATTTTTATACTATATAAGTTTTTACTGAATGTTGCATTTATTAAAAAATAGCAAAAAAAAAAAATTCTCAATGTTTTTTTTATTATCTGAATCTGTTTTTACTGAATGGTGCATTTATAAATAAAAAAAAAATCCTTTTTTAGTACCAGAATTACAGATTGATGCATTTATATAAAATTGCATATGTATTCTCAATGATTTTCTTTTTTAATCAGAATCAGTTTTTACTGAATAATGCATTTATTTTAAAACATGTTTTTTTTTTGTATCAGAATAATATTTTGCTAAATAGTGCATTTATAAAAAGTGCAAAAATGTTAAAAATTTTAATATAAAAATATTTTCAATGATTTTTAATGTCTGAATAATATTTTACTGAATAGTGCATTTATATAAAAAATGTAATTATGCATATAAGCACAACATCATATATGTATAATTTAATTATGTAATAATAATAGCATTTATTTACATTTTTAATCATGATTCAGCACAAAAAGCTGCTATTACTGCTATTCTAAAGCTTATAGAAATGTCTATAGACTTATTCAAAGTTATGTATTATTTTTATTTATATGAATATATCCAAAATAAATGCAAAATAAAGATTAGCTATAAATTCCAATAAGCTTTAAAAAAGGAGCAAAAACCCATCTAACAGTTTTAGGTTTTTAAAACGTTCCCTTAACGTTACCATTAGGTTATATAATGTTATTTCTAAAATGTTTTTAGAATATTCAACACACCTGGTTATGTTTTAGACAATACTGTTTTTTTTTGTTTGTTTGTTTTTGGTCATTCTAACATTATTAAAATGCTTTTATATCGTTTCAGTCTCGTGCTATATTAATGTTCTCAGATTGTTATTTGAAATGCTGTAAGGAAATTCCATCCACATTTTTTAAATGTTCTAGGAACATTTTTCCATCATTACAAGAACGTTCCAAAAACATTACTTTAATAACGTTATGCTAACATTAACTCAACATTTAAGGAATGTTACTGAATGTTCTGTTAGCTGGGAATAGAATTACTGTTTATGCTGATACATATGATTGTGTTTGTAACTGTTATTTATTATAATTAAGAAATCAGTGTAATCTGTGAGCTTAACAAAAAATGACTATAGATTGCTTCACTTAATTACATAATTTACAGATTTAAGTTCTGAGAAACTTAGTTGTGAAGTGAAAACACGCTAAGTATCTTGTATGTGAGACTCTTTGTTTTTAAAGTGACAGTTCACCCCAAAATTGAAATGCTTTCTTTGTTTACTCTAAACTTACATTATAAGTTCTCAGTAAAATATTTGGACATACAGTGGAAGTCAGTAGAGATCTAAATTAATTTGGTTATTCACATTCATCAAAATATCTTCTATTAGTATGTTCAGCAAACTAGTGTTGGTGAGTAAAGCATGAGAGGGCCTTGTTTTTGGGTGGTCTGTTCCTTTAAGGATTATGTTTTAGCTTTGGATGAGTGTCTGACCTTTGACCTTTGACCTCTGCAGGCAGTCCGACCACAGCTCATCGTAACCTGACCTCCACCAGCCTGAATGACTTGTCAGACAAACCAGAGAAAGACCAGGTACACCTGTGAATATCAGTAGATATGATATTTCTGGGACAAGAGTGTTCTGGTTGTTAGACTTAAGAGGGAATTGTGTTTGAGTAGCAGGGTAAATCACACCGAAACGTCCAGCTCACATTGTACTCTCAACATAATAATAATAATAATAATAATAATAATATTTAATTATTCATTCATTCATTTTCTTTTCGGGTTAATCTCTTTATTAATCTGGGGTCGCCACAATGGAATGAACCACCATCTTATCCAGTACTTTTTACGCAGTGGATGCCCTTTCAGCCACAATCCATCACAGGGAAACACTCATTCACACTCATATACTACAGCCAATTTAGCTTACCCAATTCTCCTATAGCGCATGTCTTTGGACTATGGGGGAAACCAGAGCACCCGGAAGAAACCCATGTGAACACGGGGAGAACATGCAAACGCCACGCAGAAATGCCAACTGACCCAGCCAACGCTTGAACCAGCGACCTTCTTGCTGTGAGGTGATTGTGCTACCCACTGCGCCACAATGCTGCCTTTATTAATATTAATATTATTATTATTATATAAATAGAATTATAATTCTTATTATAATAAAAAGTTTGCAATAAAAAATATTTTACATTTAATTTTAATTATTTTTAATCTAATAAATTATGTAAAAAATGCTTGACTGTTTTTAATAGGATGTCAACTTATACTATTAAAAAACTGCAATATAATATATAATTACTACAAGACTTTAAAAAATGATTAATATATCTATTAAAATATGTATGTGAATTAAAGTAGCATTATTGCATTAAAACAGTTATTTTGATACTAACCTGAAAACTAGTTATTAAAATAGGCTTAATAAATAAACAAAATGACGGTAGGCCTAGTAACCTAATGGTTTATGAGGGTTTACAAATGACAAGCGGACAATATCACAAAAAAAAAACACACACTTATGATAGCCTAAGATAAATCTTTATTTTTTACATTTAAAATTATGAAAAAAGTTATATAGCCTAAGTTGCGTGTTATCCGTGCCAAAATGTAACCAATTTGCACGGTAATAACTCTGAAATTTGGTATCTTTTTTAGGTATTTTTCTGGCTACACTGATGCCTTAAAATGTAATTAAGTAATTGTTTTGAATGACATTAGATTGTAACATTTTGCTTTTGCCTAACACTGATGTTGGTTGGGTAATAGGCTACGTGAAGCGTGATGACTCGGCTGATTTCACTATATTTATTTACCGGTTATACGAATAGTCTGATCGTGGGTCAGATTGCATGTGTGGGCATAATTTGACGTCTTTACCTAAAACTTTAAACATTTATATGCCTGCTATTTGAAATAAAACGGAAATAAATAAGAAGAATAACTTTTTAAAGCACTCGTTTGGCACTAAAGCCATGATCTGTCTGTATTAATAAGCGGTATCGTTGCATTACCGTCATTAATAAAATCAGTAATAGTGAAACTGTGCATATTATTATTACTATTAAAACGTTTATTACTGTGTAATGAAGTTCACGGCCCTTCGGCCGCCGGGAAGGAGGCGGAGAACTGACGCAGTTTTAAAATATTTATTTATAACATGAATGTCTAACCAAAACAAACGAACGGCAGCTCCTCACGGAGACTGCCGTCAAACTGAAAGCAAAAGTAAAATATGTCTGGGCCCGGTCCTCTCGCGGCTTCCTCTGCCATCGTTCCTCCTTTTATAGTCCAGAGCTCCTTCCGTGGGATTCGAGGCAGGTGCGCACCGCAGGTGTATCCACTTACGCGGCAGCCTCACTCCGTTCTTACGGCTCTCGGCCACGCCCCCTCGCCACATACCCCCATCTCCCATCACAGGCCGTGGGCATCCCGTGGCTGTGTATAATCCCGGGCGCCACAGCACCCGCGAGACCTTTATGAGATGGGCCGAGAGAAAAGGAGATGAAAAAAAAAGGAGGAAAGACAGAGTAGACCGAGAAAGGGGAGAGAAAAAAAATAATAAAAAATTGGGGTTCGGTTCTCCAGACACACTGCCACTCCGTCCTCCACCAACTGAGAGATGCGACAACGTGCTGGGAGCCCTGTGGAGAAATCTATCCACCTGTCCGTCTTCTGGCTTCTGGCGGCGGTTCTCCTGGCTGGCGGCATCTCTGGTCTCCTGCTCCGCTCCCGCTTTGGTGGACGGATGCAGGCTATGGCATCATGGCGGATCTCGGCGACTCCCCCGGGTTCTGTGGGATGGCTCCCTCCAGCGCTTTCCCTTCCGGTGGTGAGCCCCGCGTCCCCTGCTCCTCCCCATGCTGGGAGACGGCAGCAGGCAGATCCTTTCCTCGCCAGCCTCAGGCCGACGAGCGGGTTTCTACCCCATTCGGGTTAACTCCCAAACACTCGCCCCCTCTCTCAGCGGCGAGAGCATCTGGACAATACGCCCCTCCTTCTCCTGGGCTTCGGCACCACTGTAATGAAGTTCATGGTCCTTTGACCGCCGGGAAGAAGGAGGCGGAGAACCGACGCAGTTTTAAAATATTTATTTATAACATGAACGGCAGCTCCTCACGGAGACTGCCGTCTAAACCAAAACAAACGGACAGCAGCTCCTCACGGAGACTGCCGTCAAACTGAAAGCAAAAGTAAAATATGTCCGGGCCCGGTCCTCTCTCAGCTTCCTCTGCCATCGTTCCTCCTTTTATGGTCCAGAGCTCCTTCCATGGGATTCGAGGCAGGTGCGCACCGCAGGTGTATCCACTTACGCGGCAGCCTCACTCCGTTCCCACAGCTCTCGGCCACGCCCCCTCGCCACATACTGCCTTAGGTCAGTAATTTAGGCAGTAATGCAAAGTAATAATAAATGTGAATAAATAGCCTAAATGAAAGGAACAAAAGAGGCCAAATTCAGTCACCAGGTCTAGTGCCCCCCTGTGAATTTAAAATGCCCCCTCAGTTCTAACATTCTGGCGCCGGACCTGCCGCTGTGTAAAACATATGCTGAAATAGTTGGCGGTTCATTCCACTGTGGCGACCCCTAATGGATAAAGGGACTAAGCCGTTGTCGGCACCAGTGGTGTAGTGGTTAGTGTGTCGACACATGCACTCCGGTGCTCGCGGCGACCCGGGTTCGATTCCGCCTTGCGGTCCTATGCCGATCCTTCCCCTCTCTCTGCTCCCCATGCTTTCCTGTCAATTCTCTCTACTGTACTATCAAAAATAAAGGTGAAAACACCGAAAAAAAATTTATAAAAAAAAGGAACTAAGCCGAATGAAAATGAATCAATGAGTAATAATCAGAAAAGAATATCTTATGTAGCGACACAATTACTACAAAATCATAATAATAAAGTCATGCAGGCGGTGTGTTGCGGGCAGCTTGTGTGTGTGTGTGATTCTCCCAGAAGGATTTGTTGGCCGCCAGATAAATGTGTGTTTGCTCCGGAAGGTTTCAGTGACGTTTGAGGACAGAAACAACTGTAGACGACAAAACAAACTCCTTCTTCAAACACAATTGAAACTGTTTGACAGGACAAAAGCTGCCGCTGTCGTCAGTAGAGTCAATATTAGTGGATTAGCGGAGGGAGAGCGTGTGTGTGTGTGTGTTTGTGTGTTTGAGAGAAACACAGAGAGAGAGAGAGAGAGAGAGAGAGAGAGTGTGTGTGTGTGTGTGTGTTTGTGTTCCTGTGAATGTTTGTGCAAGTTTATGAGTGTGTTTGTGAGTGTATAAGTGTGTGCGTGTGTGTTTTTTTGTTTGATTGTTTGTGTTTGTGAGAGAGTGTGGGGCTGTCTGTATGTGAGTGAATGTGTGTTTATGTTTATGTGAGTGTTTGTACAAATTTGTGTGTGTGTGTGTGTGTGTGTGTGTGTGTGTGTGTGTGTGTGTGTGTGTGTGTGTGTGTGTGTGTGTGTGTGTGTGTGTGTGTGTGTGTGTGTGTGTGTGTGTGTGTGTGTGTGTGTGTGTTGTGGTCTGTCGTGTGGTTGTTTATCACTAATGAAGGGCTCTATATCTTGAATGCTTGTGTTTACAGTGGTGAACTTGTTTAACTCTGCTCTTATCAGACGTTTATGTTCCACTGAAATATGAGCTGACAGGGATTATCCCACTGTTGTTTTGATAAACACTTTATTGAATTATCCATTGTTCAGGATAGTTTGAGGTCAAAACGTAATGCTTCCTTTGTGAATGCATTGCCTTTACACAATATAAGTTCATTCATTCACAACTACTTACTATATTACAGTCTGTGCATATTAAAAATAAATTAATGAAAAGAGTAGCTGGCTAGCTCACGTCCCAGCTGGGTCAATTGGCATTTCTGTGTTGAGTTTGCATGGTCTCCTCGTGTTGGCGTGGGTTTTCTCCGGGTGCTCCGGTTTGCCCCACAGTCCAAAGACATGCAGTATAGGTGAATAGGGTAAGCTAAATTGACCATAGTGCATGTGTGTGAATGAGTGTGTATAGGTGTTTCCCTGTGATGGCTTGCAGCTGGAAGTGTATTAGCTATGTAAAACTTATGCTGGATAAGTTGGCGGTTCATTCCGCTGTGGCGACCCCTGATGAGTAAAGGGACTAAGCCGAAAAGAAAATGAATGACTGAATATTATTATTATGCAAAGAAATTAACTTGCTAATAACTTGCTAAATTCCTGTCTATGCATATTAAAATATATGAAAAAGTTATTTTAAAATAGTTAATATATATTTATAATTTTTTTTACAATTTAGATTTTAAAAACAAATTAAATTAAATACAAATAAAATATTAACTAAAATAAACTTGCTAAATAGAATTTTTTTTTAATTAAGCACAATTTTAGCTATTGTTTATTTGAATTAGTATTTAAAATAATATTTTTATATCATTATTTCTTTGTAATATTGTTCAAATCTAAATTATTGAAATGTTTTATTAAAATAAGAATTTAGATGTGAATATGTCAAATAAATAATGATAAAATATGATTATATTATTTTTATTATGCACTGAATAAGAATATTATGCAATATTATATGGATGTTGGGTGGCACGGAGGCTCAATAGTCAGCATTGTCGCCTCATAGCAAGAAGGTTGCTGGTTCGAGTCCCAGCTTGGGCCATTTGGTGTTTCGGAGTGGAGTTTGCATGTTCTTCCCGTGTTGGTGTGGGTTTCCTCCCGGTGCTCCAGTTTCCCCCACAGTCCAAACACGTGTGCTATAGGGGAATAGGATTAACTAAATTGGCCGTAGTGTATGAGTGTTGGGTGTTTCCAAGTACTGGGTTGCAGCAGGATGAGCATTCGGTGCATAAAACATGACGGATTAGTTAACGGTTTATTCTGCTGTGGCAATGCCCGAAATAGAGAATAATAACTCAATTATTCATTTTCTTTTCAGCTTAGTCCTTTTTTTATTCGGGGGTTGCTACAGTGGAATGAACCACCAACTTATCCAGCATATTTTTTAGGCAGCGGATGCCCTTTCAGCCGCAACCCAGCACTGGGAAACACCCATACACTCTTGTATTCAAACACATAGACTATGGCCAATTTAGCTTACTCAATTCACCTGTACCACTTCATTTTCACTATATGTGTTTGAACTCTGGGGGGGAAACCGGAGCACCTGGGGAAAACTCACACCAACACGAGGAGAACATGCAAACTCTACACAAAAATGCAAACTGGCCCAAACGGGGATCGAACCAGCGCCCTTCTTGCTGTGAGGCGACAGCGCTATCTATCCAAAATATATGGATGTTTTTATTTCTTTGCTCAACTACCTTCACAACATCTTCTGTAATGTTTCTAGTTCAAAGATAAAATTATAAAATAATTTTCAATTCAAGTATAAAATAATGATGCTGGAAGTGGGTTTATTGCTTAAGCTTGTCTGTGTAAGATATAATTCTTACTTCTCTATTTTAAAAGTGCAGTGACAGAGTGAAATGATTAATCTCCATGTGTATTTTCCTCATTGTTTCTCTCTTTAGTTGAATAATAAATTCATGAAGAAAATCCCCCGGGATGCCGAAGCGTCAAACGTGTTGGTGGGAGAGGTGGATTTTCTCGACGCTCCATTTGTTTCGTTTGTTCGCCTTCAGCAGTCGGTTATGTTAGGAGGTCTGACCGAAGTTCCGGTTCCCACACGGTAAAAAAAACAACTAGATTAAAATCTGTCCATTTTCAGAAATATATTACTAGAGGAACTACAGTATGTCTGTTTTTATCTGCAGCTTCCTTTTTATTCTGCTGGGGCCCAAAGGAAAGGCCAAATCATACCGTGAGATTGGACGTGCCATCGCCACGCTCATGTCTGACGAGGTGTGTGTTTTTTTATTTGTGTTGTAAATAGGGTTGCAAAATTCCAGGACTTTTCAAGGCTGGAAACTTTCCACTGGAATTTACGACAATATATGGCATTTAATGGGAATAAATGGAAATTGATGGGAATAAACTGTGAATTTGGTAATTCCAGGTAAGCCTATGACAGGGTACTTTATTTGTATCTTTCCATGGGAAATAATGGGATTAAATGGGAATTTTACAGGATTATATAGGAATTAATGAGAATAAACAGTGAATTTGGTGATTCGAGGTTAGCCTATGATACGGTACTTTAATTGTAACTTTTCATGGTAATTAAAGGGAATATAAATGGCAGTGGTAACACTTTGGAATAATGGACCATTAGTTAATGTTATTTAATGTATTTACTAATATTAACAAAGTATTAAAAATCTTGTAAAGCATTGTTTTTTATTTATTTAGGTTGTAAACAGGGTTGCAAAATTTAGGGAGTTTTTAAGAATGCAGGCTTTCCATTGGAATTAATGGGAATATATGGTAATAAACTGTGAATTTGGTAATTGAAGGCTAGACTATGACAGGGTACTTTAATTGTAACTTTCCATAGAAATTAGTGGGAATATATGGGAATTAACAGGATTATATGAAAATTTATGGAAATAAACTGTGAATTTGGTAAATTAAAGGTTAGCCTATGACAGGGTACTTTAATTATAAATTTCACTGAAAATGAATAGGAATAAATTGTGAATTTTATCAATTTAAGGTTAGCCTATGACAGGGTACTTTAATTGCAAATTTAAATGAAAATGAATGGAAATATATGAGTATTATTGGGAATATATGGGAATTATTGGAAATAAACTGTGAATTTTGTAAATTAAAGGTTAGTGTCCAACTAGGTACTTTAATTGTAACTTTCTGTGACAACCAATGGAAATAAATGAGAATTAATGGGAATGAACTGAAAGGTTAGCCTATGACAGGGTACTTTAATTCTAACTTTCCATAGGAATTTGCAAGAATATATGGGAATTAACATGATTATATGGAAATTAAGGAGAATAAAATGTGAATTTGGTAATTGAAGGTTAGCCTATTACAGGGTACTTTCAGTTGTAAATTTCAATGGAATTAATGGGAATAAACTGTGAATTTGATCAATTAAAGGTTAGCCTATGAAAGGGTACTTTAATAGTAAATTCAAATGAATGGAAAAATATGAAAATTATTGGAAATATATGGAACATTTTGTAAATTAACTGTGAATTTGGTAAATTGAAGTTTAGCGTCTGACAGGGTACTTTAATTGCAACTTTCCATGAGAATCAATGAAAATGTATGGGGATTAATGGGAATAAACTGTAAATTTGGTAATTGAAGGTTAGCCCCTGAGAGGGTACTTTTAAATATAACTTAACATAGGAATTAACGGAAATATATGGGAATTAAGCGGAATACTTTGTGAACGCATTTCCTTACAAATATTCTTTTAATTCGTTCAAATAACTTGCTAAATTGCTGTCTGTGCAAATGAAAAGAAATATAAGAAAAAGTATGAAGAAAGAAATATGAAATAAATGTATCATTTTTCTTTTTTTTTTTAAATAAAGCTGATGCTGCAGTGTATATCATTAGAAAAAGGATTGACAGTAGACATATCTATTTGACTGCTTATTTTAAGGTTTTCAAAGTTCAAACTTTTGTTTCAGTGTTGTTTTATTATTGCAATTTTTACAAACAACTTACAAGCTACCCCCCACCCCCTCCCCACAAATTGTAATGCTTCAGTGTGTTTTTTCCATGTCCCGCAGGTGTTTCATGACATTGCGTATAAAGCGCGAGATCGCAGCGACCTGCTGGCCGGGATCGATGAGTTTCTGGATGAAGTGATTGTCCTTCCTCCAGGAGAGTGGGATCCTGACATCCGAATCGAGCCTCCGAAATCCGTCCCGTCTGCTGATAAACGGTACCACTGACCTATAACTCATTCTGATTGTTCATTTTAAGCAAGATATACCGCAGGTGGACAGGGTAAAATGCAAACCAGTGTTTTTGCGGTTGGATAATGGCATGAATATATGTAACATATATTTTACATATTTTACAAGTATGACAAGTTTTCAGAAATGTTACGTTTAGATATGAAATGAGGCCTTGGCATATTAGGCAACACCTTAGTGTAGGTCACTATTCACCCAATTAGCAAACCGTTAACTAACAATACTAGCTTGAAACTGTTAATTAGCTGATTATTAATAGTTAGTAAGGTAGTAGTTGGGTTTAGATTTTGGGATGTAGAATAATACTTTAGAGCTACTTATAAAAACAGTAAATATCTTAATAATAGACAGGTAATGAGCCAGTAGTTAATAGCTTGAATTGTGACATAAACTAAAGTGTTATTGCAAATTAAAATTAACCAGTTTTGCTGAGGAGACTTTGGAAATTTCTGTTTCAGTATGGAAATATAATAAAATAAAGTGATGATGTGATGAAAAAAATCTTTTTATGGAGTCAATCTAGGGCCATATATACTTGCAAAATGAAAGAAACTTTCGCAAACAAAAAATAAAGTATTAAGCAAAAAATAAATAAATGCAAATCTCTAAAAATCGAAAAGCCAAAATAAAATTTTGTGTAATAAAAACTAATTTTGCTAGCAAAAAAAGAACTGCAAATAAAATCAAGCTGTGCAAAAAAAAAAAAAAAAAAAACTAAACTATTAGCAATTAAAAGAAAATAAAACTCTATTTGCAAAACATTTATTAAAGCATTGCCTTTACAAAACCCGTCCAGTCAATTACAATTCTCATTTTGATTTACATCAATCGTGAGTTTGCGATGCTGTTTTCACTTTGCACTTCACCTTTCTGTGCATTTCACATTGTGGCCCTGATTTGACAAGGTGGTGGAGTCAAAGGAACTTATACAGCAGGCCCCGACCCAACGGGCTGTGAGACTCCGTGATCTCGGTGATACTGTGTCACCAGGTGATGACGTTGCTTATTTGGAGGCAGATCTGGGCCATTGATTGGGCAATGCTATATAAAATGTTTTGCAAATATGTATAGTTTTCTTTTATTGCAAATATTTATTTTATTTTTTATTTTTTGCACTGCTTAATTTTTATTTGCAGTTCTTTTTTTTTCTTTGCAAATTTCATATTTTTTTCTCAAAACTTAATTTTTCCTTCGCAGTTCTTTATTTTGTTAGCAAAATTAATTTTTATTTCTCATAAATTTAATTTTCACTTTGCAATATTTAGAGATTTGCATTTTTTATTTAATTTTTGCTCAATACTTTCCTTTAAGTGTGCAAAACTTTCTTTTAATTTGCAAGTACATATCGCTTTAGATCGACACCATTTGTTTTTGCTACATGACTTTAGGAACAAAATGTTATATAAAACCAGTCAAATTCTATATGATCAAAACTCAATATATTTATAGTAATAACACTCTAAAATTTGATGTACAGTTGAAGACAACATATTTATCCTGTGAGCTTCTTTCTTTCAAATATTTCCCTGGTTCTGTTCAACAAAGCAGAGAAACATTTCACAATATTAAAATTATTACATATACACACACACACACACACACACACACACACACACACACACACACACACACACACACACACACACACATATATATATATATATGAGCAATATCACATAAGTAGCAGTGCTATGCATTGCGAGGTCATAGTGTTCCACCTGTGACAATATACAGAGCCATATCACACTGCTACAAGTGTGGTATTGTGTTTATACAACAGTTCAACAACATAATCGTGAGTATAAAAAAGAAAGTCAAACACGGAAAGTCTCAACAACCCTCTTATATGATTAACTATTTTTTTTTTAAAGTGCTCCCTAAACAGGTGATTTTGCTCTCATTTTAAGATTAAATGGCTGAATAGCAGGAAATGCCATCAGTCTGCTGAGATTTCCCAGTATTTCTCTGTTGCAATCGGGAGATCATAATAATTAACCCTGAAAAAGCCAAAGAAACGCAAACACTACCCGATTACTATGATACACAGCACTACAACATACACAATATACACAAGAGTGAGATCGACTTAGAATGTGACTTATCTGTTCTGTAGTGTTATTAATGTTCAGCTGTTGTGACCCGCTGAATCTTTCAAATTATAAATATTTAAAATAGGCACTTTCCTTATAAATAAACTGCATAGTTACAGTCTAAACAACTACATTCTCCACTAAAAAGCCTCAAAGGTACATTGTTGTCCAACAGCTGCAATATTTGTCAAACTGTAGTGAGTTTATTGATCTGCTCTGTATGCATGTGTGTGTTTGCTTGTGTGTGTGTGTGTGTTTAGTAAGAACAATCTTGCTGGAGGGGAAGGTTCTCAGATGAATGGAGGAACGCCTCATGATGGAGGTTCGGGTGGCGGCGGTGGACACGCTGTCGGGGATGAACTCAAAATGACTGGCAAGTGAGTGTACAAACAGGGGAAAATATGAAATAATATCACTTAGATTAGCAATTAGCACAGTTAATATTGCCTTCTGTTGTTTCTGTGCTTTAAGAAATGCAAAAAACTTTATTAAATTTACGCCACCATTCAAAGGTTTTATTAGTTCATGTCACTAGCATTTAATAATCATAGTTAACAGTTACTAATGCATTATCTGATTCATATTATAAAGTGTTACCTTAAATGTTTGTGTTAGAGATAAGTTTAAAATGTTTTTGAACTTGTTTATGTTCACCAAGGCTGAGTTTATGTAATTACGATAATGGTAAAGGGGCCGTGAAATTAGATGTTAGTACAAATATGTTTGTTTTTTGGATATGCATAAGCTAGTGTGCTCCAAACAGAAACAAAATTTGCATTCAGAAGATATAAACATCAAAAGTTTGTCACTTCCACCTAAATGGATAAATGATTTTTTCTGGCATCACCTCATGCTTGAGTTCCTCATCAAATCTTCTGACCAATCAAAGGCTCTTTACTCTGAGATGCCCCGGCCTCTTCTTCTCATTTGGTCTTCATTTGATGCGCTTGAGCTCAACCACCCTCACTGGCAGAGCGGTGATTAAAACAAAACAATATTGGCTTGGCTTGTTTTTTTTTAAAGAGGGCAGGGCTAGTCTATGTCCTGCCCTCTCTTCATGTTTAGGTTCAGATTAGGTCAAACATGAACTAAAAAATGCACATTTCAAAGCACTTCACAGGACATGTAAAACATTATATTCTGAACTATATGTATTGAATATTCATGAAGATATGTTTCAGTGTTTTTTTTTTTGTGGGTCTCATGTGAGTGACGGGGTGATCCCGCCCCCTCACCAATGAACACCAGTTTGAAAAGAGATTATATTGAAGAGGAAGGGGAATTAATTTAGTATAATAATAATAATAATAATGTGGATGAAAATATTGTAAAATTGATTATCTCAGTCTTTTGTGTCATTTTAAAAAGTATTAATGCCTTACTGTTATTGTTCAAGCATTGGTAATAAATAATAATAATAATAAAAATAACAAATGTTAGAGACAAATGTAGCATTGTTTTTTAATATTATTCCAGCAAAATAATGGCATCTCTGTTTTTTTCTCGTAGGTTTTGCGGGGGTCTCGTTCTGGACATCAAAAGGAAACTACCGTTTTTCGCAAGCGACTTTTATGACGCTCTGAACATCCAGTCTCTGTCCGCCATCTTGTTTATTTACCTGGGTACAGTAACAAACGCCATCACGTTCGGAGGCCTGCTAGGAGACGCCACAGAGAACATGCAGGTTAGACTTTTATTTTTACTCCCTTATATTATTTTACTCCCTTATATTATTGATTTTTACTCCCTAATTTTATTTCATTTTACTCCTTTATTTTATTTAATTTATTTGTTTTTTATTTATTTTTATTATTTATGTTATTGAATTATTTTAATTAATTTTCTCCCTTATTATAATTTCATGCCCTTATTATATATAGATTTTTATTGCATTAATTTATTTCTTTGTTTGTCATTTATTTTATTTAATCCTCTTATTTGATTCTACTTATATTTTATTTTATTTTACTCCCTTATTTTGTTTTTTAAGTTTGATCTTATTTTACTCCCTTATTTTATTTTATTCCATTTTATTTTATTTTATTCCCTTATTTTAAATGATTTTACTCTCTTATTTAATTTTAATTTTTTTTATTTTGCATTATTTTACTCTTTTATTTAATTTTAATTTGTCTTATTTTTCTCCCTTATTTGAATTCATTTTACTCCCTTATTTTATTTTAGTTTAGTGTTTGCATTAATTTTATATTTTGCTTTTATTTTATTTTACTTTACTCCCTTATTTTTTTTATTTTTTATTTTTTCGCCCTTATTTTTGTTTTAATTCTGATTATTTTACTCCCTTATTTTGTTTAATTTCACTATTTTTTATTTAATAATTTCTTATTTTAATTTCTTTTACTCTCTTATTTAATTATTATTTTTATTATTATTATTAATTTTGCATTCATTAATACATTTTTTTTTTTGCTTTTATTTTATTTTATTTTCATACAGCTGTACCAATTAAAATTTTAGCAGGACATGTAAAAATTAAAACAACTATCCAGATTGAACAACTATTACCTTGCAAAAAAACTGATTTAAACACAGGCAATTATTCCATCCATAAATATCTCCATTTAAATGAATGCTTAGCCAATATTTCCCTGCCATAGTATTAAAAATGGTGCTTAGTACTAGTATCTATGAGAGTGAAAAATTCAAGTATCATAACAACACTACTGATTTCTGCTAAACCAACAGACCTTTTGGCCGCACTAAATTTATCTCTGAGCTCCTGGAAATAAAATGTGTCCGACAGTGTGTTCACAGCTCCGGGGTTTTAAAGGCCACAGATATCGCTTTGATTATTAAACATGCCACCTCAAATATATACTATTATGTGTTTCCTTCATATACAGTTAAAGTCAGAAATATTAGCCCTCCTGAATTATTAGCCTTGATGTATATTTTTTCAACACATTTCATTTGGTAAATATTTGGAAAAGAATTCACAGTATCGCTAATAATGATGACTTTAACTGTACATGTTGCATGCTGGGAACTGATCCATGCTTTACTGTAAGAGGAATTGGGCTTTTCCTCGAACAACTGTGTGTATAAATAGTGTGTGGTTTGTGCGTGGGACGTCCTGACATGTGCAGCTACTGCAGGGTTTGCACATATATTTAGCAGTGCGTTTATATGGGCGCAGGTTAAGGAGGATCAGCTATAAATAGCCTCAGATTACAATCAAGAGCTCACACACATATAAAATCACAGAAATACTCTTTCAGGGAGGCCTTTCTGTGACCTCTGGCCTTTATCTAGAGTTACGCCAAAGAAAAGATTGAGGTCGCATAGTTTGTGAAGCATTTTATTTCTCGCT